TTTATCAAAATACAGGGCTGTAATTCAGGTTTCGGAGAAGGAAAGCCCTATAGAATATTAGAGCTGACTGGGACTTTACAGACATTCGTTTTGCAAATGAGTATCCTCTCTTGTTAAAGGTCACACTGGCGAAGCTGAGACTGGAACTGGGGACACAGGGACTCCATGTCTGTGTTGTTGTGTTTGTCACCTTCCATGTATCCATCCGGAACATAGAGCTTTACTCTTACTTAGAGTGGGTACTCTTGTTAGATTACTGTTCAAAGATAAAAGTTCTAGCTTCTCATTTCTCTGTATAAAACTTTTAAAAGGCAAGCTCAGTTTATATCTTCCAAACCTTTTCCCCAAATATTCTCCTTGAGTCCCTCGTTTTAGTACAACCCGCCTGTTTCTCTGTCCCATGGGAAGACCTTGCTTCTTCCTTGAGCTTACAGTATTTCCAGGCATTATCTTTGTTGGTCCATTTATCTTTCAGAGCCACCCAGCTTTCAAAGTCCCTGTCAAGGCCCACCCCTGCCTATGCTAGCTCTTGTCACACACCCGGGTTCTTTTTGTACACTGTGTATTGCTGTCTCTTTTCACGTATGTAAATGTCTCTTTTGCAGGTAGGCTTTAAGCTTCTTGAGTACAGGACGAGAATATGATTCATCTGGAGCTCGAGTGCCAGGCAAATACAGTTATTCATTCATTAAATTAACAGACGTTTTTACTGAGTGTCTATCATGCATTAGGTCCTGGGACTCAAGGAAGATAATTACTTCTGCTCTCAAGGATTCAAGAGTTGAGTGTGGGATACAGGCCGGCAGAGAGGCAGAGATGTGTGAAGAGCACAGTATTCTAAGTGCTGTGGAAGTTAACTTGAACCAGTTGAGAGAAAACGTGAATCATGTCCTTAAGGATTAGTAGGAAGTGATGCTCGGGATCTGAATGATGCATAATAGAGGAGACAGCATTTTTAATTGAGAGGTAGCTGCATCGAAAGGGAGGGAGATAAAACTAGCGGAAATGGATGATTTTCCAGCAGAACATGAAAATAACCTCCAAAGAAGCATAAAACTGCTGCAGCTATCATAGAAGTTACTGGAAATATGATTCAGATCTATTATTAAAGAATCACATCCAAATGACTTTACACTAAGTTCTGATAAACTTTTAAAGATCAGATAATTCTAATCTCCTCAGTAGGAAACAAATCCACATGGTAGAAGAGGATGTAGAACCCTCATGTTAAAACCAAATGACGAGAAGTAAAACAAGTAGAGAAAAAAATACTACAGGATAATCTTACTTACGATTATGGGTAAAAAAATTTCTATACAAAGTAGCGTATTTAATTCATCAATATATCAAATAGTACAACTGTGAGTAGGTTTTTTTCCCTAGGAATGTAGACATGGTTCAATATCTGGAAATCTATCAAAATGATTAATTCCATTGCTAAATTAAGGAAGAGAAAAGACTATCACTGGAGGCTAAGAAGGAAGATACAGAGATTCTAAAGAGGGATGAGTAAACAAACAGATCAACATTCATTCATTCACACACTTATCTGTAACATGGCTTGCTTAAAGACTTTCGAGCCAGCATTGCTGGCTCATATAGTGAGACTACTCAGAAGTCATATAGTGAGACTACTCAGAAGCTTCCCGCTCACTGGGTCAGTCCCTGTGGATTGTTGTAAGTATGATACAAGTACTAGAAGACCCCAAAATTAAGCTACTCTTTTGTTGGGAAGGTGGAGTTCGGGAAATGTTCACAGCATCAGACACATTTGTGTTGGGTCAAGATTAAAAAAAAAAAGAAAAGAAAAATAGGGCTTGGTAGAAAGTGAAGGTTGGTATAAAGTGACGGGAGAAAAATGGCAGTGTAGATGGTGGGCACAACATTTGAAATTCATTACAAATGCTCTGAATGGTGTCACTGGACCCCTGTTGACATGTGGAAGAATGGTATGAGGAGATGCCATAGAGGTCATCCGCGAACAGATAGATGGCCAGGCCCTGGCACTGTCAGGGGGTGGGGCTGGAGCTGTGTCTATGAGGAGGGCAATACCAGGGTACCATGAGGTACTGGGGATGACTGTAAAATGGTGGAGTCAATTACTTGCATCTTTTTTTTTTTTTTT